AGTAGAGAAAATGATTCGTAGTTGCATGGCATGCCAAGTAGCGACGCCAACATAAACACGGGAACCCCCTAAAAATGTCGGCACTGCCTGAACGTCCATGGTCAGAGATCAGCACTGATTTTGAACAGGTACCTGGCATGGGTACGCACTTTATGGTAATCTCCGACTTCTCACGCTACGTCGTCGTGGAACCAGTGTCCTCTCTCACAGCAAATGCGGTCATCCCTGTCCTTGACAAGATCATTGGAGAATTCGGTGTACCCGATGTGGTCAAGTCGGATAACGGACCCTCCTTCAACAGCAGCACATTCTCTGACTACGCACGGCACAAAGGCTTCAAGCATCGTAAGATTACTCCGCTGTGGCCGCTCGCAAACGCCGAGGCAGAACGCTTTATGAAGACGGTAAAGAAGTCTATTAAAGCTGCCATAGCGGAAAGGAAAACCTGGAACCAGGAGCTGCACAGCTTTCTGCTTAACTATCGAGCAACCCCTCACAGCAGCACTGGCATACCTCCAGCTACGCTGATGTTCGGGAGGGCCATCAAAACAACCCTACCCCGGATCGCGTACGAGAAACCGCAGCACGACGTCCGCCAGAAGGACAGCGAGTCTAAAGCGCGGATGAAGGTGTATGCGGATCGAAAGGCATATGTCAGAGAGTCTGGTATAAAGATTGGTGAACCTGTGCTCATGAAGAGAGAGAGAATGAGGAAGTCTGAACCCCCGTTTGATCCGAAACCCCTCATCGTTACGAAGAGAAATGGATCGATGGTGACGGCTGAATGTCATGGAAAGACAGTCACCAGAAACTCGTCCCGATTTAAACGCTCCCCCACACGTCCAGAAGACGTCCCGACGTCATCGGATGAGGAGGAGGAAGAGCTGGGTTTACACCAATACCTCGGACCAGACGATCCGCCGCCGGACCCTGTGGTCCAGCACGCTCCAAGGCTACCTGAGGTGCAAGGCAGACCGCAGCGAGAGCGTCGGCTTCCAGATAGATTTAAGGACTTCGTCATGGCGTAGACATTTCGTTGGGGAGGAATGTGATGTCCAGCCCTATTGTTTACGTTTGGTATCGGTGATGACTCTATGTGTGCAATGTGACGCATGCGCGAGCGGACATCCGGGATAAGAAAAGAAAGGAGCAGCGGGAATGATTAGACAGAAACGAGGTGTTACAATCTTTTGAGCTCAATTATGGTTTGATATCATCGATTAACAAACAATAAGAACATTACAGTTTAATATCTGCACTTTAACAAAGCACTTTA